TACCTTTACTTTTTTCTTTTTTTCTTTTCCTACGTACTACATAGATCCCGACCGACTAACTACCTACCTACCGCCCTACGATAATACCTAACTACACAATATATATACATATATATATATATATCACAATATATATATATATATATATATATATATCACATTAGCTCTCTACTCTCCTTCTCTCTTTTCTTTCTCGTTGGTTCTCTCTCTAACCTACTAACATAGCTATTGTTCATCCAAAGAAACTGAATACGCACACCATATCTTCTATATACACCAGCAAGGGCAATCAACACTCAGCTAGATCTACCATGATAGTGCTGAAGAGTGAACGTCAACAGTCTCCTACCTTCATCGCCCTTCTCCTTCACCGATTCCTTGTCACTCTCATCCGAATCTCTCTCCTGCGAGGAAAAACAAAGATGTAAAAGTTAGGAAACACGTTCACAGTGACGACAGATGATAGAAACATGTACGCGGGGCAAGAGCAGAGTCGCTGTAGTTACTCCAGTAGTAGTTATAAAATGGAGCATGAGTAGTAGTTATGATTGTAGGTATCAGGAGCAGGGCAAGTAGGTATAATTATAGGTCTAAGGATCGAGCAGGAGTGGTAGGTGTAATTGTAGGTATCTGCTACTCGTGTAACTACAGAAAGCAGATATATAGACGCTACTGATCATGGTGTGGTAACTGTGAGACAACGAGCATAGTTTGTCTCGTTATAACAGGCGATAACTAGCAGCTGCTATGGTGCCCGATGCACGTACCTGAGGGGTAATAATCAACTCTACAAGCACAGCGAATCATTTATTTTACAGTTAAAATTTTTTTCATATCAATAATATTTTTTTCTCGTATTTTTGAACTTTATATCAGCCGTGCACACGCTGTTATTACTAACAGTAACTGACGAATTTCACGGACACATAGAAGGCTATTAACAGTATTAAGCATTATGATTACATAATATAAGATAATAAAATCATGGAAAAGCGTTTGCATAACATAGCGAGACATGAAAAGCAGTTTTACAAGCCCTAATCTTAGCCGAACTTAGGGATAGCTTCACATTAGCATCGATTTCAAAATACGGCTGCCATGCAAAATAGACAAGGGTTTATCCTTTGAATGGCTAACTTTCCTAAACTGCAATCTGAGGACATTTTACTAGCCATACATGCGCTACTCGCCTAGATGACATCTTGGGAAGCTCAAGCAAATATTACAGCCTGACTGAGCGATGAAATTATAACGAACTATGAATATGAAAAGCTCAGATTCTTTAGCAACAATATATAGGTCATGCTTGCGTAGGCATCATCCCAAGTTTTTCCCAATTACCTTAATCAATTCCAATTGTGTCTGAGTAAAGAACAGATGAATGGGGAAAATGCGATGAGTGATACAAAATGCAGGTACGTGTGTAACAGACAGATGGAGACAGAGATTGATACCACAGACGAGCAAAAGTATTTTTTACATTTCAAACATGAATTAAATGCGCCTTTACGACTAGTCTACATGGATTACTCGTGAGAACTAGTTGTGAAACTAAACGTTAACAAGACTAGAAAGTGCAATCTGACACGACAATTAACACATCAACTGTTGCAAAGAGATCATTAGCAGATACGTGCTTAACTCCCTGACAAAACGCCCTCAGTTTCAAAAAAACATTCGTGATGCTTTTAGACTCAGAATACTACGAATATACTATCATGTCCTACATTATTTCCCCATAACATGCATCGCGCACGCGGTGGCATCGTATGCAAACATACAATATGCATTGCATAACATACCTTAGACGTATCCCTGTTGTCATAGGAGATGTCAAGGGAGGTGTCTCTCGCGAGGGAGGTGTCGCGCGATGGCCCCAGCTCCTCCTTCAGCGCGTCGAATCCTGATTGGTCGAGCGCAGCCTCGGCTGCTGCCCTCTCTAGCTGGTCGGTGACAAGCTCAACGTTATGCATGGAGCGGCGAACAATGTCGTCGCGGTTGATCTTCCTGAGCGCTTTCTCTAGCGCGTTGCCTGTGAACGGCGAGCAAGACAGAGAGAGAAGTGAGTTAACCATAATCTTCTGCAGGTCATGAGCAGCAAGAGAGAGGGAGAGAGCGAGCGAGAGAGAGAGCGAGAGAGAGAGAGAGAGAGAGAGAGAGAGAGAGAGAGAGAGAGAGAGAGAGAGAGAGAGAGAGAGAGAGAGTGAGAGAGCGAGAAAGAGAGAGCGCGAGAGAGAGACAGAGACAGAGAGAGGTGAATTACGATAGCTCCTCTGGAAGTCACTAAGTACACAGTCACATACCCCACCCAGAAGATCAGTAGGAAGACGAAAAAGTGGTAGAGGAGTCAGAGGAGAAGAAGGAGGATGAGGAGGAGGCAGAGGAGAACGTGGCAATAGAGGAGAACGAATAAGAAGATGAACAAGAAGGAAAAGAAGAAGAAGAAGAAGAAAAAGAAGAAGAAGAAAAAGAAGAAGAAAAAGAAAAAAAGAAAAAAAAAGAAGGCAAAGAAAAGGGAGGATGATCAAGAAGAAATCAAAGGTGAAGAGAAAGGAAAAGTGTAAGAAAAAGAGGACGAAAAAAAGAAGTCGACGTGAACAAGGAGATACGAAAGACAGAAGACGACAACGGCATCGAAGTAGAACACAGCAACATCAGCAGCATCATTCACGCACCTGAGGCGAGTTCTCTCTTCTGCACACGCCAGACCTTCAGCATCTCAAACGCCTGCGCATCGAGGTTGCTAGGATGTTCCTCCTTGATCTGCTGTATCTGCGTCTCGGTGATGTCCAGCTGCAGTGCCAGCATCACCCAGTCATCCTGCAGCTGCCGTGCAATGTCCGACAGCTTCAGCTCTGCCTTCGTGATCGTCTCCTTGTGCGCTGCAGCAAAGATGGCCACCGCCGTCATGAGAGAGCTGTGCAATTATTTGGAGGCCCCAGGGAGCTTGTGCCATTGTTGTCAGACAGAATTTAGTAGCAGACGTTACTGACTGTTGTACCAAAGGTGAAGCAAGCAGGAGAGGAGACAATGTAGCCTACCTGAGGCTATCTCAATGATATTTAGCAAGCATTTTTGGCCAGTGCCATTGATAACTGTAACTGTTAACATAACTGTTAACATGCTGCAGGATCCGCAAAAAATGTGCAATAACTACGTGCACGTAACATCAGTTGCGGGGGAAATGCTGAACACTAACGCATGATTTCTTCACTCACCGATGCCCATCTCGTGCAAGTACTCGTATTTCTTCTCGATGGTAACGGTCTCCTTGCTCGGTGAGTGCGGGAGCCTCTCCAGCTTCAGCTGATGTTAGAAAATAACAGCAATTACGCGTGTGAGAACAGAGAGTCGTGTACAGACAGATAGCTCTACCACCGATGCGCTATCTAGCGCTTCAGTTATCTCTGCATTCAGCACTGCACGCGTGGTAACAAAACCACTAGACTATCTCACACCTAAATCTTGGTGTGAAGTGTGCCGTATTCACGTTAATTAATAAACCATTCTACAGTTTAGTAAAAAAGCTTGCTCGTGCTGATTGACTCTTGTCATTTCACTTACGACAAGGCCAGTGATCGTAGTGACCCATTGCTAATTACAATCAACCAGTACAACCATCGAGAAGAACCATTGCTAATCTTAATGTATTAACTGAGCTTGACTTGCTCTGTTTTGTGTTTTCTCATATTTTGTACCTTGTAATGTGCATGTGAACATATTTTAAGGTATCAAACCAATTATTATTATTATTATTATTATTATTATTATTAAAAATGTTGTTATTGTTACCGTGCTATAAACAACAACTAAATAGGGTGACATTAAATATAATGGTATTATACTTACAGGAACGTAGTCTGGCAGCATAATGTTGAGATTACAGATAGGTGTCTGGGCAGGTTCTCCCTTGCCCACCTTCTGCTCCTTCATGAATGCTATCCTCGCTACAGAAAACCCATATACAAACCATTAAAACCACGGACACGAATGTACAATCATATGCGAGCACGTACAAACATGTACATTCCTCGCTTAAAAATTGCATTCAATTACCTCACTGACAAAATTTACCCATTACATGAAATAACCAACATGGCATGTTTCTTTACCTACGTTATTTTACGTTGACAAGACTGTGGGCATTTTTGGTGAGAGGACAATTTCAAACAGAACAAATGAATCCAGTGATCCTGCACGTTTGTTTTAGCGTGTCACTGGTCCGGATTGCGAACTGTTGACCCTACTAGTGGATTTGAAGGGGATGTGAAACAGAGACAATCATCTTGGTCAATCGCAGCTCATTGCTAGGGAAGGTGATTACTGAGGTTGGTTGCTAGGTAGGGTTGCTAACGTGGTAGGTCACGATGACAGGTGAGACTTAACAATGACGCATAAGATGCGTGTTTGCGTTTGTTTCCAAGGATCAGAATGAAGAAATCGCCACCTGGAAAGATTCACCTTAAACAGATGCACCCACAGCTGTCTCTGCCTCGTCTCACAGATCTGACCACGCGTTCACACTCACCCAGCGCTTCCTGGATCGCATCTCGGACCCGAACGATGAAAGGCAGACGGTTTTCTTGGAATGAGAAGAAGTGAAGGAGCAGCTGCTCTCCGGACTTTGTCACGGGCACAAGGTTACCCGCCATCTCTATGAACTGAGGCTTGTCTTCGAGAACCTAACCCGAGAGGAAAACACACGTGGAGAGAACATTAGATAACAGCCGTAGACAGTAACGTCATAAGTATAACATTGTAGGATTGTCACAACCTAGCGTGAGACGGGAACACATGTGGAGGGAACTTTAGATAACAGCCATCATCAGTAACGTCATAAGTATAACATTGTACATTTAAATTGTCACAACCTAGTGTGATATGGAAGCACATGTGGAGAGAACATTAGATAACAGCAATCGTCAGTAACGTCATATTAAAGTATAACATTGTAGGATTGCCACAACCTAGCGTGAGACGGGAACACATGTGGAGAGAACATTAGATAACAACCATCATCAGTAACGTCATAAGTATAACATTGTATAGGATTGTCACATCCTAACGTGAGATGGAAACACGTGGAGAGAACATTAGATAACAGCAATTGTCAGTAACATCATAAGTACGACGTCGTGCATCTATAATGTCACAACTTTTGAAGAAGCGAGGTGAAGTGTTGTGCATACGATTACAAGATTTCAGACTCAGTTAATGATAAGTTGTGATTTTCGTTAAAATATGGCTGCACAGCTCAGTGTGACAGCTTCTCCATTAGAGGATCGACTCCTCATCTCATTTTCGTGGTCTACTCTTTCCGAAATGCATTCTCCTCACGATTGCAACGTGGTTTGGATATAATGCCGAGGGTGACGTGAGGAGACAGATACAGCTTGAACAAGTGGCAACTACCTACTCACACAAGTTACCAGTTTCATCGTTTGACCTACAGACAGCATTCTCTACTAACTCTGCCAACTTTAGAAGCCCCCCCCCCCTTCACCACCACATCCAACGTTCAGCACCTCCCTACATCATCTGACCCTCACACGCAGCGCCCCCTACACACACCTCAACGTCGCGGCTGCGGGCAACCTCGGTGAAGTGTTCCTGACACTCAAGCGTCTTCTCCATCTTGTCGTCGGTCATGCAGAAGACACGCAGCGCCCCCTCTTGGGCCTCAGTTCGCTTTGCGAAGACAACAAACTTGGCCATGAAGGGAACGTGGATGGCTTCCCTGTAGAGCTCGCCCGCCAGACGCCCTGCCTCATTCGTCTGCTGACAGTCCATCAACCAAAACCTAACAGTGCAGACAATACCCCATTTATGCTACACAGCAGCGACGATTTAAAACAAAAACACCGGCTTGAAAAAATTGAAGAACTAATGGCTTTAGCTTAGTGCTGGTTTAAGCTGCTAGATGGCTGGTTTCTTCGTATGCTGGCAGTGAACCAACCAGAACCTGACGGCAAAGTCAGGATTAACAAAGGCCGTTTATAGGGGAATAACTGGTGACTCTACCTGGCTGACACTGTAGTTGTGAATGAGACACAGTCGTTGACAAAGGTGAGAGGAGTTGTGCCGGTGATGTCTTCCCATTGTGCTGGCGTAGAACCACCTGAAAATTCAATATTTGGACAAACTTATTCAAAGATCCTTTCATTTGCTATCAGTATTTAAACACACGTGCAGCAATGATGCATGCCATTAAAGGAAACAAAATGTCATTTTTACCTGTAACCTTTCAGTGGCTTTCCATTAATCAACCTCTTACCGTCAGGGTATTAATAACGCCTAACGGATTTACCTCAACATCTCCCCGCACGCTCGTCCACCTGGTGGTGTCGGCGCCATGTTGCCTTACTGGGTAACGTGCCGGGGGTGTCTATATTCAAGCCGGTACGGGAGATTACCGTACGCATATATTTGCTAATATATTGACTAATCGTGCGTCAATAAACTCAATATTCACAGAGAGTATAGCTAAGACATGTGTCTATAGGTATCTAGAATTTTAGAAATGTACTCATCTGTAATTCACTTCCGCGCGCATATATTTGGCATTTGCTAATATATTGACTAATCGTGAGTCAATAAACTCAATATTCACAGATTCAAGCCGGTACGGGATATCATTTGCATAATATATTCTAGATATCTATAGACACATGTCTTAGCTATACTCTCTGTGAATATTGAGTTATTGACGCACGGTTAGTCAATATATTAGCAAATATATGCGTACCGTAATCTTCCGTACAGGCTTGAATATAGACACCCCCAATCGTGCCCTCGCTCCCTCGACACAGCCATACATGCGTGCGGCGCCCCCTACCTGTGATGCTGCACAGTAGCCGCAGTTTAGCGGCCTCGTTGCCATACTGGTTGATCACGCCCTCACTTCCCCCCCCACGCATGGTAGCGCCCCCTACCTGTGATGCTGCACAGTAGCCGCAGCGTAAAGCCGCAGCGTAGGGGCCTCATTGCTGTACTGGTTGATCATGCCCTTGCTGGCGGCCTGCGGCAGTGGAATGGTTAACGTGATCGGCTTGTGGAACTTGCGCCGGCGCGGCTCGACGGTGACGATGGGGCTTACAGCAACGCGGTTACCTAGTCGCTTCGCCACCAGCTCGCTGGGGATCGGTTGTGCCTGCAGAGAGGTCGAGAGCATTAGTAGGAGAAGGGCAGAGGTGTAGATAATCTAGAAGTGATAGAGGGAGCACATTAGTAAAGAGGTCTGGATGGCTCTAGGAGAGCAATAGCGAAAGAACGCTCAGGGTAAGTGAGAAATGATAGTGCTAGCAGAGGGAAGGTCCGGATAACTGGGGAGAGTTAGAGCATTAACTGAGGGAAGGTTCAGTTGAGAGCAAATGACCACAATAGCACACGGGTAGATAGACAAGGTAGAGATGATGGAGAGTGAGAGCAATAGCAAGGAGAAGGTCTGAATAGCTGTGGAGAGCACTAAGCATTAGCTGTGAAGTCATGGAGTAATGAGGAGCTACAGTATGAGCCAGTTTCCATGATAGATGGCCCCACGAGTAATAGAAACACTTGAATCAGCAGGATGAACACAGGTACGTTTGAACTCTGATCCTTAATACGTCATTACATACTCTCATTGATTTTAAGCCGTATATTTATCTGCACAATTTAAATTTGCGTCCGAAATTAAATTTAACAAAAAATAATTTTTAAATTAGAATTTAAATTACTTGCTTACTTATTTCGGCCCGCGAAAACAGCTGGCACCAATGTACATCGTGTACTGACACATGCTGCCACCTACCTGCAGACCGACGCGAATCTTCTTCGTGAGAGCGCCCTCTGGGAACATGGCTTGCACTTGCGGCACGACGGTCGAACTGACCATGCCTCCCTCGGGTCCGATGGGACGGTTCTCCTGGTGTACGCGCGTGACGATGGCGAAGTAGACGGGGAAGTCATTGGTGAGGATGCGGGTGATGCGGTTGGTGTGCAGGTCCTCTATAGCATCCAGCTCTGTGTGTGTGCGAGAGAGACTACGTTATATGGAGAAACGGGGGAGATCGGGAGGGGAATAGCAAAAGGAAAATGGAGAAAGAGCAAGAAAAATAAAAAGTGCAGGAAAGCACAAGAGAGGGAGAGAGGAAAATGGAGAGAGCAAGATAGTCGGGGAAGAGAGAGAGAGATAGATAGATAGATAGATAGATAGATAGATAGATAGATAGAGAGAGGTGGGGAGAGAGAGCAGAACAGAGATAGAGAAAGAAGGCAAGGCAGACAGAACAAACATCAGCAAGAGAATAGGAAAAAAAGAAATTAAGTGGAAAAAGAAAGAGTGCTAATAAGCTGCCATTATCTTCTCCATCGCTCGACACAACCGCGAAAAACAGGCAACCGGCAGTTAGATGCGATATGATATGACTACTAGGCACTTTAATTTAATTTTTTTTTTTTTTTTTTAGGGTTAGGGTTAGGGTTTAGGTTAGGTTTAGGGTTTAGGTTAGGTTAGGGTTAGGGTTAGGGTTTTTTTTTTAAGTGCCTAGTAGTCATATCCTAAGTGCCTAGTAGTCATATCATATCGCATCTAACAGCCGGGTGCGAAAAACAGACTGTCGCTCTTCTAACCACCACGGGGCACCGAACTCACGACACCATTTTTATGACAATTCCCGCCACTAGATGGCGCCACGTACCTTCTCCTTCAAAGCTCTCGTTGAGCACGTCCTGCACGGCGTTCTCTGTCGCCTCTAGCGTGTGCTCGCGCCAAGACTCTCCATTGTCGCTGCGTAGGATCGTGATCTCACGCTCCCGGCCGCGCAGCGACGCAAAGTGCGGCACCTCAATGATGACGGGCCTGCATGCACGAACAAACAACACTCAGAACAAACAACGTTTCGAACAATAAAGTTCAGTGCAAACTACGTTTAGAACAAACAACGCTCAGAACAATAAAGATAAGTGCAAATTATATTCAGAACAAACAACGCTCAGAACAATAAAGTTTTGTGCAAACAACGTTCAGTACTCATTCAGCTATTCTGAAGAATTCGGTGCTAGAATAGCCCAAAGAACGTTAACGTGAACCCTAATGCTGGAATTCATGGTCGTGATACTTTGCGATCTACCACAACAGCATCAGCAGCAGCTGCTGCCGGGGACATCAGAGTGGATCTCTGCCACATGGAGCCAATCAGCATCTCTTGCTACATGATAAGACCCGCCCTCTCTAATTCAGACATGTCTAATTATTAGTAGGCGTGGTCTGCTGATTGCAGTCTAACTGCAGTACCTCAGCTATACCAGCAGCCAAGGAGCGGGCGAGAGACGATGAGAAAGAGAGATAGAGAGAGAGGGGGAGGATGACTGAGACACATAAAGAGGGAAGAGGGAGAGAGAGAGACAGATAGAGATGGTGGGGGAGATGGTGTGTGAGAGAGTGAGAGAGCAATAGATGGAGAGAGTGAGAGAGCAATAGATGAAGAGAGTGAGCGAGAGCAGGAGAGACAGCAAGAGAGGGAGAGAAATAAATGAAACCTGCTTCTGTTTTCCTGGAGGAGTTTTCCCGGGCTCACATGTGCAGCCTATTACCCCTGCCTTCCGTTTGGCGACTGGTTCCGTTTATCATAATTAACTTAAGGAGAATCCTGGAGTTCTCTGGAAGTAATTTTACTACGGACCCCGTCGACTACTCATCATAGCATCAGGAGGCAGCAGCTGCGGTTCCACTAGTTGTGGTGATGATGAATGAGATGACGTCACGCACTCGTGGGTCGCTGTTTACATTTTTTAAACGATTTTTGTCGGCGGTATGAAATGAAGAATTTACCGACTTGTTGATATTCGACCACTGTGTTTATAGCCTGACCGAGAGGGTCAGAAAATGCCCGGACACCTTCCTGCAATGCTAACAAGAGATGGGTCTCATGTTAACCACCCTTCTAGCAAGTGCTTCTCCCTCTAGCAGCCAGCATGCATGCTCCCCTCTGCTAGTTATCTCCGCCTCTCACGGGCTAATTCCATTCCGGGTAACCGCCAATCCCCTTTCCCTGTCATCTCTTCCCGGTCACCTCTTCCTCAAATCAACCCTCCCCCTTCCCCGTAAAACCTCCCCACCTCCCAATGACTATGACCCACCCGAGGAACTTGGCCCCGCTGGGTCCCATCTCAAGCACCCTGCTAGCGAGAGCTTCTCCCTCCATGAGCGGCGGCGGGTGGATGATCTTCTCCTTCTTCAGGAGCTTGCATGTGATGCGCATCGGAGCGGGAGCCTTCCGCGGCGGGATGATGATGCGCACGCCGGAGTGGCGGCAGCCGCGCATGGCGCCCCCTCGTGCGTCCACCATGAAGCTCACCAGGAAACTGTAATAGATAGAGTTAGAGATTAGTGCAAGGAAGTGAAGCCAATGTTATAGGCACGACAGCAAAGTTGGCAAGGAAGAGAGTGGGTGAGAAGCGCGCCCGAGAGAGTGTGGCAGAGAGAGAGAGGCGACAGAGAGAGAGAGTGGGACTGAAAGAGAGTAGTAGACCGGTGAAAAATGGAGTGAGAGAGAGGACGGGGGACGGGTACCACGGAACAGTCGTGTAACATATTATCTCCTGATATTATCTATTGCACAGGTTGGCATGTATTTAGAATGTTTATGTTCGTGTACCAATTATTGTACTATGCGTGTGCTGGTTGACTGCATGCCGTGCTAGATAAGTTAAACGACAGGGCATGTACATTACGGTGACGTGCACGATGCACGCACATTGGTGACGTGTACGATGCACGCACATTGGTGACGTGTTTGATGCGCGCACATTGGTGACGTGTCGATGGCGTTGGAGATGCACGCACTTCGCTTACGTGCAATATACACACACCCTTGACGTACGAAATGCGGACAACCCAGGCGCATGTGTCTACGCTCTTCACCAAAAGTAATCATAAGCAAGAGTTTTTTTCCATGAGTTTCCGGCTCTGCATCGGTGAATCCCCAATACAACAGCCGAGAACCGTAGTAGGGAGTTTTTCTTCCGAGGAGCAGCCACCCACATTCAGGCATCGCCATTGCTGCCACCGCTAACCGGTGTTGTGATACACATGACGGCTGTCGGTGCTAAAAAACAAACAGGGAATTCCCTCATTCCCCTCTCTGCTCTCTGCCATTCACCAGCTGCCTTCGCAAGTGAAAAAAAATCACTGGGGAAATGAGTGAGGCGTATAGCGGGCATGTTTACAAGCTGTTAGGCCCAACTCGCCGGTTTATTTTTATATACGCGCATGTACTCTCTTTCCAGCGCGCGCTCTCTCTTTCTAGCCACGTACCGCCTGTGTGTGTGTGTGTGTGTGGGTGTGTGTGTGTGTGTGTGTGTGTGTGTGTGTGTGTGTGTGTGTGTGTGTGTGTGTGTGTGTGTGTGTATATAATAGTATATAATATATATATGTTGTGTGTTGTGCTGTGGGTGTTGTGTAGTGGTGTGTGTGTGTGTGTGGTGTGTGTGTGTCGTGCGTGTGTGTGTGTTGTGTGTAGTGTGTGTAGTGTTTGCGCGTATACGTGCCGCCTACACGTGGGTGTACGCGTCACTGCGCGGCCTACGCCGTGTGGTGTATGGCGCTGCGTGTGTATGCGTCTGTGTGTTGTGTGTGTTGTGTGCCGTCGCGTGCGCGCGCTGTGTGTGTGGTGCGTGTGTGCGCTGCGTGCGTGGCGAGTGTGTGTGCGTGTGTGTGTGTTTATATCCATGTATGCGAACTACCAGGGGTCACTCAACGTAGCACGTATTAGCCTGCTTCTATAGCGGCTCCCTACCGACGCTCTGCGACATTTTCCAATTTAAATGATTACGGACACGAATGCGCCGCGCGTCGGCATGGCAGCCTGTGTGAAGTCGGTCTACCACGGGAGAAAGAGGAGGATGCACGCTGGAATGCTTTCTGGCAGCGGCGGCAGCAAGCCAGTAGTAGCAGTAGTGGTACGCAGTACGGCAACGTAGAGTAGTAGTAGTAATGTTAGTAGTAGTAGTCAGTAGTAGTGAGTAGTAGTAGTAGTAGTAGAAGGAGTAAGATAAGTATAAGGATATAGTTATCTTACTCCTCGGTAGGTAGTAGTAGCAGCGAGCACGCCCCACCAACACCACCCCCACAGCAGCAGCAGCAGCAACAACAACAGCAATCAACAGGCTTCAGCAGCAGCAGCGAGTTAGCAAACCAGCAGCAAGAAGCAACAGCACCACCACACCACCACACCATCGCAACAGCAAGTAGACGCAGCAGATTCAACCAGCAGACAGCAGCAGCAGCAGGCAGCAGGCGGCACTCACACCTACTAATCTTAGGGGCGCCCGTATACAAGGGCCATTAGGTCTGACATCCCCGTTAGCATACAGTGCGTCAGTAACCAGACGTGAGACAGCGCAGGCTAACCTAGACAGAGGGCACTCACGGAGGAGTGGCTCATCCTCCGCGAGCATGTAACATGTATGTGTTACAATGCGTGGCTCGGCGCTCGCTGCTGGCTGCTGCCTGACTGACTCGCCTGCCTTGCCTGACTTCGCGCTCGGATGCGTGGCGCTGCTTGACTCGCCCGCCTCGCTGGGGTTGCTGCTGACTCCTCGCCTGCTGCTGACTCGCCGGCTCCGCGGATCTCGATAGCGCTTACCCGATCGCCGCCGCGCCGGGCTAGGCACACACAACACACACACACAACACACACACACACACACACACACACACACACACACCACACACACATTGCCGGACCACCGGACACACAATACACCCCACCACATGGCACAACACACACACACACATACACACACACGCACACGCACACACACACACGCACACACACACACACACACGCACGCACACACACACTCACACACACACACGACCGATTACATTACCTCCCCTGCAACTCCGTTGCGCGGAGGTAATAACACCGATGCTAACTCACATGGTAACCATGCAGTGACCACCGCAGCATTCCATGGTCAACCAGCGTTCTCGATCCTGACTAAAAGTCCTTCGCCCTTACACGCACACTAAAACTCGGCAGCCGACGTTAGATGGGCGCGTTGACCTTAGTAACCCCGTCAGAAACTTAGAGTAGAGCATAATTGATCTGATTTAATCCTGATTTAATGTATGCTGAAATTATGAGTGCCTACAACAGAACTGTAACGATACTAGTGGCGAGAATAGCCGAAAAATAGTCTCGGGAAATAGATAAAGAATAGGTAAACAAATCTTACATCCTAACCGCTACTTCTTATGTTTCACTAAGTTGTTTAGTCGATTAGTCCAACGGGTTTACTTCAGCATTGTAAGTATTTGGTCATTAGTCACGGGGCTTACTATTCCAATACCACAAAATTCTACGTGCTAGTCGTGTTGTACATTACAGGAAAGTCGTAAAATATGGACGACAGGAGATAAGGTCGCAGAGGTTGTAACGTAACGTCTTGTCGTAAATAATTATGAGCATCACTAGCGTACGATCATGCGGATTTTTTGCATATTCGCCAGATGTTACAGCTATTTTTTTTTTCGAGGCCGCACACACGTGTGAGCGATGTAATGCATGCTAGTGACAACCGTACGTGTAGCATCTATTCCTTCTGGTACACCATCTGCCCAGCTGACAACGTACGTGCACAAGCGTGCACCGCAGACTCTGCGGTATCAGTAGCGCGCTCGCACATTCTGCACCGTCTTATCGTTACGTTTCCGAAAATCCGAAAATCGCTTCTGAATTCCACCGCTGACATCTATACGCGACTACACGCGACATCCCACAGCGTGCCAAACTTAATCTTGCTCTTACTTAACAGACTTGCTCTGCCCGCGTAACCCTAGAGAAGACAACTTTGCTTGTCTAGGCCCTGCGTAGTTAGCCCATAGCCCTAGTAGGTGTCCATGTACCTCCATGCAGGTACACATATAGGCGTCTATGTAGCCCTATGTAGGGGTCTATGTATGTGCCTAAGTAGCCCAATGTAGGTGCCTAGCAGATGCTTATCTAAATGCCTATGTAGGCGTCTATGTAGCCCAATATAGGTGCATAGTAGGAGCCAATGTAGATGGCCATGTAGCTGCCTAATTAGATGTCTATGTGAGTCTATGGGGGAGCGAAGGTCGCACATCCGTGACAACACAACAGACAGCAATACAATAAAAGGCAAGCGACGACCACACGAAATACACACGAATACACGAATATACACGAAATACACACGATACTCTGCGCGTGTGTGATTACGCCCTGATGCATGCAGGCACTGACCCCACGGCAGCTGTGCGCCAGTGGTGACGGCAGAAGAGTTACCTACCCGGTTCTATCCATGATGGAGGGCAGCCGGTGGTACATGTACCACAGCCACGGCCAGTCTTCCTCCCAGTCCCAGTACATGACCGGGGGCCACTTCCACTTCACGTGCGAGTACGAGCGTTCCATCTCGCAGCTTCCAACGACGTTGATAACGAGATATATATGTATATAAATATATATGCAATATATGTTAGCTAACGATAGCTGAGAGTTGATTAACGAGGTCCCTGTACGTACGACTCAACAGCTCGACCAAAGGAGAGAAGATAATGTCACAGTGCGACAACGTACGCCAGATGTGCGCGGTCACGCGTCACGACACACGGTCTGTCACCGACGACGACACGACAAAGAGACGTGATGGACTCTCGTCACAACTTGAATGTATCTGATCACTGATGACGACACCCTCTGTCAACGAACACGACACAACGACGTGACAGAACAGTAGATCTCTATATATCCTTCCTCAATTAACCATCCGCAGGATGACGGGTTGTCTCTTGAATCTTGTTTCGCGGGTTCGACTGTCCCCTTCCGCACACCCTCAAAGTCAACGTCTAACCACCAACGTCCACCCGAGCAAGAACTCACGGACGCACACTCACTCAGCGAGCACTCCAGTCCGCGGTTCAGCCTGCCGATGACAGCATCCCTACAGCCTCCACGGTTTTTGTATCCGGGTTTTTTTTATTGCAGAATGCTAGCAGCAGGTCAACGCGATAGAGAGAGAAAAAAATAGATAGAGAGACGCAGCTAGAGAGAGAGAGATCAGGAGATACCAGACAAGCAAGACCTACGCGTGGCCGGGCGTGTGGCCAGACTGTTAGAGATATCTCCACGGTAGAACCAACACTCTACCGCCAACAAAATATATCGAAAATAACTTCAAACGAGTAACTGACACTGGCGTGGGGTGGCGTGGCGTGGCGTGGAGGGGTTTCAACGGGTGGCTTGGAGTCATCAAAGTCACCAGACTTGTTTCCGAACACATTCATTGCCGGGTGGCTGTCTATAAGACGTCGGAGAAGCAAAATGCCAATTCCA